ATTTCCATGTGTTTATGAAATTCTTGTGGTTTCTTTTGCTTTTGATCTCCAATTTCATCACACTATGGTCTGATAATATATAGGCGATAACTTCAATTCCTTTGCACTTAACCATGTTCTGTGAGCGAGTATGTGGTCTATTTTGGACAGCCCATGTGCAGCTGAAAGAATGTGTATTCTGATTTTGTGGGGTGGAACACTCTCTAAACATCTGTTAAATTCATTTCTTCAAGAGTTTGATTGAGTTCTAGTATTTTGTTGTTTATTTTCTGTCTAGTGGATCTATGTATTTGTGACAGTGTGTTATTGAGGTCCCCTATTACTATTGTATTAGTGCTTATTTGACTTGTCACGTCCCTTAGTATTTGTTTTATATAGTTGGGTGCACTAGTATTTGGTGCATACATATATAAGATTGTCTTCTCTTCCTCTTGGATTGTTCCCTTTACAAGGATGTAGTGTCTTTCTTTGTCTCTCTTAATAGTGTTGGTTTGAAATCCATTTGATCTGCAAAGAAGATAGCTACTCCTGCTTTTTTTGGGGTTCCTGTTGCATGGAGTATTGTTTTTCCACCCTTTAACTTTCAGTCTGTGAGTTTCTTTTTGTATTAAGTGTGTTTCTTGTATGCAGCATATTGTTAGATCTTGCTTCTTGACCCCTTCTGCCAGTCTCCCCCTTTGCATTTAATTTCTTGTCGTGCCCAGTGGATTCATTCTGCTGGCCTTCCTGGGTTGTGATCCTTGTTGTCTTTTCCTAGGATATTGTCTAAAACTTTTTGGAGTGCTGCTTTGGTATTCATGAAATTCCCAAGGTGCTCTTTGTCATGAAAGTATCTTATTTCTCCATCAAGTTTGAAAGATAGTTTTGCAGGGTACCACAGTTTGGATTGGAGGCTATTTTCTTTAAAATTTTTTTGTTTTTGTGGGGGGCGGTTTGAGACGGGGTCTTGCTATGTAGTTCCAGCTGACCTTGAACTCACTATGTAGACCAGGCTGGCCTTGAACTTGTGATCCTCCTGGCTCAGCCTCCAGAGTGTTGGGACTACAGGTGGGCACCCCAACACTGGCCAAAAATTTTTAAATTAACTTTTAATTTTAGAATTAAAATTATATAAAATTGTTCTAAATTATAGAACATTGCAGTGATAGTACAGAGAATTTGCATATACCCCACATTTGATTTTCTCTGTTAACGTCTTGCATTAATATAGTATATTTGTCATAACTAATCAACCAGTACTGATATATTACTATTAACTAAAGTCCATATTTTATTCAAATGTCCTTAGTTTTCTTTTCTTTTTTTTTCTGGTACTGGGGATAGAACTCAGGACCTTGCATTTGCAAGGCTGGCACAGTGCCACTGAGCTAAATCTCTGGCCCCAAATCTCCTTAGTTTTCACTTATATTCTTTGCTATTTGTATATCTCATTTTGAGGTTATTTTCTATTTAACTTTGTGTGTTTGTATGCATATATATGTGTGTGTCTGTGATAGTGAATTGTCCAAAGATAGGGCTGATAAGCCAAGTATTGTGGACATTTTTATGACTTTTGGTACACATTATCAAGTTGTTTTCCAACAATCTTTTTTTTTCCTTCCAAAAATCTTATATGAACGTACTCTATCACTAGCAATATATGTGAGTATTTGTGAGTTTCTAGTTAGTTTTTTTGTAGTGTTAGGGATCAAACCCAGGGCTTTGTGTGGTCTAGCCAAGTTCTCTACTGAGCTACATCCCCAGCCCATTTTACTGTAGTCTCTTATTTATGTTTTTTTTTTTCACTTGAGGCAGGGTCTCAATATGCAGTTGAGGTTGGCCTTGAACTCACAGTGTAGCCCAGGCTGGCTTCAAACTCATGGTGATCATCCTGCTTCAGCCTCCTGAATTGTAGCCTATTAGTTTTTGATATCATTAAAATTATCAAAGGAAATTTTTTTTTTTTTTTTTTTGATACCAGGGATAGAACTCAGGACCTTCTTCCTCTTGCGAGGCAGGCGCCGGAACCACTGAGCTAAATCCCCGGCCCCTCAAAGGAAATTTTATAATTGAAAAATAGTACATCATTGTTTAACTTAATTTCCTTTCTTATCAGGAGTTTGAATATTTCTCACTGTGTATTTACTAATTGTGGTTTTTCCTTTTGAATTATTTTTTATTTATATTGACTGTTGAGATTGATTTTACTTTTAAAATTTAATTTTTAAATTTTCATAGCTACAAAACCAATTTAAATGGCATGGTCATTAGTGAAGATACTGTTCATAAAGTTACCAAAGGCTCGATATCCTCTGTGGCTCTCCATCCATCAGAAACTAGAATTCTGGTAGCAGCTGGGTCCAAATCGGGGCAAATTGGACTTTGGGATTTGGTAAGTTATTATTCCTCCTTGAAGATATTGAGGTTTGATCGAACCAAATAATCTTTTTTTTTTTTCCCCCTTTTTTTTATTCCTTTCAGTACCAGGGATCGAACTCAGGACCTTGCGCTTGCCAGGCAGGCGCAGTGCCACTGAGCTAAATCCCTGGCGAACCAAATAATCTTACAAGGCAATAGGCTAGAGACATTTATTTATAAATGGTTGAGATTTTACTTTTGTGTTTTATGATCCCAAATTTTTGAATTTGAAGACATTTAAATTTGTTTTATAGAACTTTAACATTTTTAGTTTGGATGATATCTTTAGCCATCTGGGCATAAATCAATTGCCAGGAGACTTTAAGTGAAAATGTGAAAAACCAGTTTCTCAATTATGTTTAAAATATGGTCTGCTATGAAGTGAATATGTGTCCCCCCAGAATTTATATGTTGAATGCCTATGCAGTGAGGTGATGCTATTAGGTGTGTGGTCTTTCAGGTAATTAGTTCATGAAAGGGATTAGTACCTTTGTGAAAGAAGCCCAAGGAGATCCCTTGCTCCTTCCACCAAATGAGGATGGCCCTCCATAGACACTGACTCAGCCAGTGTCTTGATTTTGGATCGCCTAGCCCCCAGACCTGAGAAATACATTTCTACTGTTATGGGATTTTGTTATAGCAGCCCATGTGGACTAAGATGCAGTCTGTGAGCTGAATTGGAATGCCTTCCTAGAGATCTGCTCAGAATGGTCCAGGTCATCTTTTTTTTTGTACTGGGGATTGAACTTGGGTCCTTGTGCTTGTACAGCAGGCAGCAAAACCACTGAGCTAAATCTCCGGCCCAAGATCCAGGTCATCTTGATGAGTCTGACACTTACTGCATCCAGTTCACTATGCATATCGTACTTCAGTAAGGGCTTTCAGTGGTTAGAAAATTGAAAGAAATCAAGCTAATCCTGTATGAATTTATTTTCTAGTCAGGGAAGTAGGACATAGACATACACATGCTGTAAGGACATTTAATGGAGATGAGAAACAAAGGTGAGTTGAAGCTAGTTTCATCCCAAGGACTGGAAAAGACAAAAACCAAAAAATGTAATTTTTTGCATTTTCCTGTATCATTTGAGTTCTTTATAGTTTAGTTTTCCTAGAAAATGAGTGGTATAAAGAAATACTGAGATGATAACAGTCATTGACTCTGTGTAGATAAAAGAGTGCATGAAGCCAGGCATGGTTGTGTGTGGTATAATCCCCGCACTCTGGGAGGCTGAGGCTCTTGAGATGGGTTGTGAATTTGAGCCCAGCCTGGACAACTTAGCAAGACCCTATCTCAAAATAAGAATAAAATTTAAAAAGGCCTGGGACCTAGCTCAGTGCAGAGTGTTTGCCTAGCATGTGTGAGACCCTGGGTCTGAAACTCAGTACCAAAAACAAGTGTGTCATTGTAATTTTTTCCTTTTCCATTGTGTCTCTTCTTCTAAAAATACTTCTCAATTTTAAAATTAAAAAAAGAAAAGGAAATTGCTCGGCTGTTTCATGGCCGATCAGGACAGATGTGGAGATGACAGCTGCTCTGATCTGTCCATATGGAACTCCGCTTCCAGGAGTTGATTATCCAGCGGTAGGTCTAAGAACGGCGACGCTATGATGAAGTCAGACAGATGCACTTTCATGGTGTATTTAGAGGGCGAAATACTTCTAAAACTGCCACTTTGTGCAGAATACCTTATGAAAATGATGATGCTGCCAGGCATTGGTGGTGCATGCCTGGAGATCCAGGAACTTGGGAAGCTGAGGTATGAGGATCATGAGTTCGAAGCCAGCCTAGGTCACATAATGAGACTATGTCTCAGGGAAAGAAAAAGAAAAGAAATGATACTGAGAATAATATATTGATATATAGAAGCCTTAATCTTAGAAAGCAAAGTGGTAATGCTATTGATACATTTTCAGGAAGAAATTATGGTTCATTTGAAATAAGGTGGATTTCTCATTTCTCAAGCATTTCATTATGTTGTGTCATAATAAGCAGTGATTTATTTTATTATTTAGCTTTGGAGAGGGGTTCTTTTGCGTCGCTCAGGCTGGCCTTGAACTCCAGGGCTCATATGATCCTCTTGCCTCAGCTGCCCGAATAGCTGGAAATACAGGTGTCTGCCATCACACCCACATATGCAGTGTTTTGTTTTGGTTTTGCTGTAAAAAGAATCTAGTTTGCCAGTTGGAAAAAGCTGGACACTAAATGTGACTTGTATTGTAGGACTGAAAATTAGAAAAAAATTTCATATCAATATGAAGTTCCTAGTTCTGACTATCTGAATGTGAGAGTGAGTGTAGTTATAGATTAAGAAGAGACTAGATGTAATCCCAATCTAAATAATTTGAGGGCTGGGGATTTAGCTCAGTGGTGCCGCCACCTGCCTTGAAGGCAAAAGGTCCCGAGTTTGATCCCTGGTACCAAAAAAACCCCAAAACAACAACAATAAATAACTTAATGATACCATCTTAGAATCTCCAACTTTCTTTCAGACTCAGCAACATAAAGAAGATGGGACTTACGTTTTCTATCCCCACAGTCAGCCCATTAGCTGTCTTTACTTCTCACCTGACAACCCGGCCCATCTCCTGTCCCTGAGTTACGATGGCACATTGCGATGTGGGGATTTCTCTAGGGCTGTCTTTGATGAGGTAAATTTTCATGTGTTTGTATGCCAGTGTCAGCTGAGATTCTGAATTCTCTGTTAGATGCCATATGAGTTATTATTATCAGTCATATTGGTAGAAGAGATATAGTGTTGGGGCCTCAGACAATTTTCCTGCCTCAGCCTCCTGATTAGCTGGGACTAGAGGCATGTACCACAACACTTGGTTATTCTAATTAATTTTTTTCAGGCAAGTTTTAAATAAAGTAACTTTACTATTTGTAGGATTAAGCCTAGGACATTTTCACTTGGAAAAATCCTATTCATGATTTCTCCTCTTTGTAGAGATCACTTTTGTGGGGATGATTCTTAAACATGACAAAAAAGATAATAGAGAAATTCATTAGCAATGGTATTATATACCTGAGAAATTTAGTCTATTATATAACACAGAAAGTATAAAATTTGATTTTCCATTATCTTTAAGCCAGGCCTTAACATGTCATCTCCTTTTCTTCCTCTTCCTTCTCTTGTTCTTCTTCTTCTCCTCTTCCTCCCTCTCTCTTCCCCCCTTCTCTCCCTCTCTTCCTCCTCCTCTTCCCCTCTCCCACCACCATTCCTTCTCTTTTCTACCTCTTTTTGTTTTTGTTGTTTTGTTTTTTTGAGGCAGAGTCTTGTTATGTAGTTTAGGTTGGGCTTTAATTCACTATGTAGCCAAGGCTGCCCTTGAGCTCCCTGTGATCCTCCTGCCTCAGGCTCTAAGTACTGGGATTATAGGCATGTGCCACCATGCCCAGCTTCCCCTTGTGCTAGGGATTGAACCATATCTTCAACCCAGATTTAACATGTCTTATAAGATATACAAATACACATACATACACACACACCCCCCCCAAAATGAATACATTTCAGGAAAGGAAAAACATATATAAATACTGTAATACTAAATTATTGAGACACCATGAGATTGATACAAGTTACCACCTTTGGCCTGTACAACTGCAAGAGATGGTCAAAGTGGTGGCCATGAGCTTCCAGACATTTATTAGTATGGTGAACTGCTGCTTGGGTAACCTTGGTCATTGAGATTGTGGCACATGCATTTTCAATTTTTTCTCTAAGGGCCAGCAGTGTAGTGGGTTTTCTGCAATATACAGCATCCTTTAGGGTCCCCCATACGAAGGTAGCACCATCTGTTGAAAAAAGTCATACTATTTTTTCTCTTTTGATGTGTGTATACTTTTTTTTGGTGGACTCGTGTGTGTGTGTGTGTGCGCGCGTGCGTGCGTGCGCGCGTGCGCGCGCGCATGTATATTATAATGCTGAAGACATTAGCTCAGCTATTTTCATCTGTTGAAATGGGAATTGAAAACTGCCATGGCTGTCATGTAATTCTACTGTGCCAAGAAGTGGATACCCAAGGGGTTTTATTCAGAATCTCTTGAGGATAAGGGCTTTTCCTGGCAGGTTTAACTCATGCCATGAAGATTAAGTTCCAGTCTATTTCAGAATAATTGGAGGATCTGGGCATCATATTCATGACTACCTGTCTTGCCTCAGTCACCAGACTGTTAATCTAATCCATTCGATATCTGGTGGGATGGGTGGAAGCTTTCAAGGCCTGAAGAATCTTTTAGATTCTATTGCTTATATTTTGGTCTATTATTTATTGATTTAATTCTTTTTGTTTTTTGTTTTTTATTAGTTTTTGAGATAGGGTCTCACTGTATAGCTCAGGGTGGCTTCAAACTCACAGAGATCCTCCTACCTCAGCCTTCTGAGAGCTGGGATAAAAGGCATGCGCTAGCATGCCTGGCTTATTATTTAAATGTCTAGTGTTTAATAGTAACATTTGAGATGAGCTTCCAGATTTGTGTAATTATATCAGATTTCCTCAGTAAAAGAATTCTTTTAAGTTGAACTTTTAAAACTACATGAATTTTTTTTTTTTTCTTTTTTTTGGGTACCAGGGATCGAACTTGGGTCCTTGCACTTGCGCAGCAGGCGAAACCACTGAGCTAAATCCCCGGCCCATACATGGATTTTAATCTTTGTGAAACTTAGCATAGGTTAGCTGTATATTTTCATTTTTTATCTTATTTTGAATGAGGTTTTAAAGTTTTTGGAGATATGCAGTATAGAGCAATTTGTATGTGGCATACAGTGAAGGGAGCAACTCATCATTGAAGTTGCATTATAAATACTAGTTGATGATCTAATTTTTTTTCTTTTTTTTGGTACTGGGGATCAAACTTGGGACCTTGTGCTTGCAAGGCAGGTGGTGGAACCACTGAGCTAAATGCCCAGCCCTGATGATCTAATTTTATGCCTTAATTTTACATAAGCCAGTACTCAAAACTAACACATTCCGATATCTGTTCTAAATATTCCTTGTATAGATGATGCTTGCTTGCTTATTTATTTATTTATTTATTTAAATTTGTTTACTTTTTGAGATAGGGTCTTGTTGTGTAGTTCAGGCTGGCTTTGAACTCACTGTGTAGCCCAGGCTGGCCTGGAACACATGGCAATCCACATGTCTCAGCCTTCTTAATGCTGGGATTATAGGCATGAGCTACCACACCTGGAGCATAATTATTTTTAAAAGGGCTTTAAAAGTTATTCTAATAATTATAGTACAGTGTGTTCTCTTTCTCTCCCTTTCTCTTTTTCTCTGCCTTTCTCTCTCATGTCTATCTGTGTCCTTCCATCCTCTGTCCTTCCTTGCAATAGTAGGGATAGAACCCAGGCCCTCACACATCCCTCACACATACATACTAAGCATGTGCTCTGTGCACTATGCCCTTAGCCCTCTTTTTTTTTTGAGACAAGGTCTCACTATGTACTTCAGGCTGGCCTTGAACTTACTCTGTACCTCAGCTGGCCTCAAACTTGAAGCCATCCTCCTGTCTTAGCCTCCCAAGTACTAGGATTAAAGGTATGAGCTACCATGCTTGGCTGTTTTCAACTGTTCCAAATAATGCAGGTGTGAACATTCATGTATCAAGTGGTAACTTGAGTTTTTTGAGCCAGGATCTAGCTGTGTAATTAAGGCTGGCCTTGAGCTCACTCTGTAGCCCAGGCTGGGCTTTAACTTGAGGTGGTCCTCCTGCCTCAGGGATTACAAATGTATGCCACTATGCCCAGCAATATTTAGCATCTTGAGGGACTGCCAAATTTCCCCCAATCATCGGCACCATTTACATACCCATCGTTCATGTGTGAGGGTTCATGTCTGTTCACAGCTTTGCGATGACTGTTTTTGCTGGGAGGGTGGCTGTCCTGTGGGTTGCAGTGGTGCCTTGCTGTGGTTTTGATTTGCATTTCCCTAATGATGGCTGGTGCTGTTGCTGAGTGTCCTTCCTTATGTTCTTTCTTTACAGAAGCATCTGTTTAGAACCTTTGCCTTTGTTTTAATTGGGTTTTTAATCTTTTCTATTGAGTCGTAAAACTTTTCTACTTTTTTAGAGGTCAGGTTTATTGAAGCTTAAGTTTTATATAGTAAAATTTACCTTTTTAGGTGCGCAGTTTCATGGGTTTTGGCGTTTGCATCTATATAACCATAAGCACAATGAAGACACGAGGAGTTTCCCTCTCCCCACGGAATTCTATCATGACCCTTTGTAGTCGGTCTCCCCCTCTGTCTGCAGCCTTGGCAACCGCTGATGTGATATTGTGCCTATGATTGTCTTTCCCAGTGTCTGGCTTTTCTGATGTGTAGGGTTTTGTGTCTGCCTCTTTCACTTGTCACAATGCTTTTAAGATTCATCTGTGTTGTTGTGTGTATCAGTAATTTGTTTCTGATACTGCTGATTGAACAGTTACCTTATGCTAGGTGAAATTACGAATGTACTTTATAATTAGTACTAAGCCTCATGACACTGTGAAATAGGTAATTTTATCCCCATTTATCAGATGTAAAGCTGAGGCAGAGAGGTTTATTAGCTTGCTCAAGAACATACTGGTGTTTGCTGGGCATGGTGGCGCACACTCATAATCTCAGGACTCGGGAGGCTGAGTCACGAGGATCACTGTGAGTTCAAGGCCACTTTGGTTTAGATAGTGAGTTCAAGCCCAGTTTGAACTACACAGCGAGACCCTGTTTCAAAAAAAAAAAAAAAAAAAAGAAGTGGTAGAACTAAAATTTGCATTAGAATTTGTCTGACTCCAAAGCCCTTGCTCTTAAATATTTTTACATACGGACCAAAATACTTGAAGTATTATTTGTATATATTGAGCTTTTTTGGGTGTTGTGATGCTTTAGAGATTAATTTGTTAATTTCAATTTATACTACTTGTTATCAAAACAAAAAGCAGTAGCAATTCATGATTCAACAATTAGAATAGCATTTGTTCTTACTTGGTAGAAGCATTTGTTTTTTGTCCTTTCAGTGTGTGAGCCCTGAAACCCATAATGATATCATTGTGGCTTAATACATGATTAAGTATTATAGCCATAATACATACTTTTGATAAAATATTTACAGTCAGTGGGATATGCAGAATAAATCTATTCTCTGGCAGTTCCCAAGCTGCAGAAGTAACCGTTGTGTATCTTGAGTGTGCCTCCAGAAAGTGCATACCATATCTTTACAAACACAGACCATTTCCTCCCTTTCTTTGTTCTAATGGATTTATACCATATAAGTCTTTTGCGTTTTGCTCTTTTTCATTTAATAGTATATCTTGGAGAGGTAGTAAGATCATACTGCCTCATTGTTTTCAGCATTGCATGATATTTCAGAGTGGAGAGTTAATATCATTCATTTACCAGATCTGTCTTGGTGGCTTCTTGTTGCTATTGCAAGCTTTCTTGTAGCAGACATCTTCATCCATTTCTTTTACTGAAATTATTAGGTAAAAGACTATAAGCATTAAATATTTTGATTGGGCTGGGGATTTAGCTTAGTAGTTCTGGCACCTGCCTCACAAGTGCAAGGTCCCGAGTTCTATCCCCAGTACCAAAAAAAAAATTTTTTTGATAGATTCAGCCTGCTTAACTGTCAAGAATTTTAATCTACTACAAGAACAGTTGAACATTCATCAAGCTGTTTTGGACTTGGTTGGCAAAGTCACCTGCTATATTAAGATATGATTTCAATTCATTATTTTACTTCACTCCCTAGTGAGTTTTGCAGGGTAGGTCTGGGACAGAGGGTTATTGGTTTTGAGATTTGAAGCCTTGATGTGAGTAGGTGGGGCATTTGATTGGAGGTAAGCCTCACAGATGAACACTGCCTTGGTTTTCAGTTTGCCCCCTGCTTCCTGTGTGGAAGACGGGAAGATAAGTGAGGACATCTGGATAAAGTGCTTTATAACTGCTGCCAAGAGCTTATGCAGCAACTTTTCTTAAGGGAAAAGTGTCACACAGCTAACTGTTACTCACACCCTCAGGTGTACAGAAATGAAAGCAGGAGCTTATCCTCCTTCGACTTCTTGGCAGAGAGTGCTGCTACTTTACTAGTAGGACACTGGGATGGGGCCCTGTCACTGGTGGATAGACGGACACCTGGGACTTCTTATGAGAAACTTATTAATTCTTCTATGACAAAGATAAGAACTGTTCATATGCACCCCGTGCACCGACAGTATTTCATCACTGCAGGACTGAGGTATGTTCTTCAGAAAATATAGTTTAGTTTGGTTGTCAAAGACATATGACTTTTGTAATACACAAATGCCAAATAATTTTCCTTTTTACACTGATGGAGGCTTCTTTTGAGTGTGATTTTTTTTTTTGAGATAAGATCTTGCTATGTAGTTCAGGCTGACCTTGAACTCACTATGTAGCCCAGGCTGGGCTTGAACTCAGCAGTCCTTCTGCCTCTGCCTCCTGAGTGCTGGAAATACAGGGTATGAACCACTATGCCCAGTTTGAGTGTGATTTTTTTTTCTTGGTACTGGTTATCGAACTCAGGACCTTGCGCTTGCGAGGCAGGCAGCAGAACAACTGAGCTAAAACCCTGTCCTGAGTGTGATTTTTTTTTTTTGTACTGGGGATTGAACTTGGAACCTTGCGCTTGTGCGGCAGGCACCAGAACCACTTAGCTAAATCCCTGGCTTGAGTGTGATTTTTTTATAAAGGAGAAATTCTTTTGGATTTTTATTTATTTTTTGAGACAGGGTCTCACTTTGTAGTTTAGGCTGGTCTTAAACTCACTATGTAGCCAATCTAGCCTCAAACTCACGGCGATTCTCCTGCTTGAGCCTACTAAGTGCTGGGATTACAAGCGTGCACCACCAAGCCTAGCTCTTTTAGATTTAATGAATATTGAAAGAACTGAAAAGAATGTACATTTTTGTTTCCCTTGGCATTATGTTCATTTACTTTTAAGTTTTCTGAGAAAACATAAAATTATAAAAAAGGAAAAAGTTATATATGATCCATAACTTGGCCAGTGGTGTTTTTTTCCTTGGAAAGATTAAAAAACCAACTAGAAACTTACTTGTATATCTGCTGGTTTACATGGAGCTGTTACAGTTTTGGAGTTTTCTAAATATTTTACCTTGTATCTATACCAGTGTTTATAAAATTATTACAGAAGTTTAGAGGGTTTCTGAATAGGCAAACACTTGGAGATTAAATAATACATTATTGAATAATCAGTGCATCACGGAAGAGATAAGGGAAGAAAAGAAAATCTTTTTGTAACATTTGTACATTATATGCAAGCCAGCAGACTATTTACTTTTTGGGTCTGTGGAATGGTTTAATCTTCTAAATGAGTCCAATACTTGTTGTTACTTTAGTTATTGTTACAAATAATCAGAAAACCTCTAGAAAAACATTTAAAAGTCTTATCAGATCATAATAGGAAAAAACACAAGACTGATGATTTTGAATATTTATTGTTTTATTGGTTTTGTTTTGTTTTGTTTTTTGGTTTGTTGAGCTAAGTAACTACACAGGGACTCGCTGTGTAGTTCAGGTTGGCTTTGAACTCACTATGTCTCCCAGGCTGGCCTTGAACTTGGAGCGAGCCTCCTGCCTCAGCCTCCCGAGTGCTGGGATTACAGGTGTGCGCCACCAGGCCCAGCTAGTGTTTTATTGGTAAGAAAGTATTGGGTGGAAAAATATCTCAGTGAATCATTTGTGCAGAAAAAAATTACTTAAAAATAAATGAAGTTTGGTCCTAATTTTAGGGCCGGGGATTTAGCTCAGTGGTTCCAGCGCCTGCCTTGCAAGCGCAAGGTCCCAAGTTCGATGCCCGGTACCAGAAAAAATAAATGAAGTTGCTCTAAAAAGATTAGAGTTCTGTCTAAAATGTCCTTCAGTGTGGCAGATATTTTTGAGTGTCTAGCTTATGTTCAGTCCTGTCCTGTAGCTCACTGCATGCACTGTGGTGATATTGATTGTTATTTCCCTACCACAGGGATACCCATGTTTATGACGCCAGGTACCTGAATCCCCGGAGAAGCCAGCCTTTGGTCTCTCTGACTGAGCACACAAAGAGCATTGCTTCCGCCTACTTCTCACCTGTTACTGGTAACAGAGTTGTGTCCACATGTGCGGATTGTAAGCTGAGGTAAACTGAGAAGGCGACATGTTTTGAGTCTGTAGCTGTCAGTAAACAAGAAACTTTGCTTACTGCTTTTCCTATTTAATTGGTAGTGTTACTGCTTTGCAGCCATATCTAGGTTCCCAAAGACCAGTGACCTGGTTTTTTTGAGACAGGGCCTTGCTATGCAGTTCAGGTTGTCCTTGAACACTATGTCACTATGTAGCTCAGGGTGGCCTTGAATTTGAGGCAGTCCTCCTGTCTCACCCTCCTGAGTGCTTGGATTACAGATGTGAGCCAGCACACCTGGCTGACCTGTACTTTTTTTTTTTTGGTACCAGGGATCGAACTCAGGTTTTTGAGCTTTCAAGGCAGGTGCCGGAACCACTGAGCTAAATCCTGGCCTGACCTGTACTTTTAAAAAATATTTATATATATATATATTTAATTTTTATTTCTATTAGTCCATGTTTTCAGTACATAATGATTATATATTTTTTTTTTGTACTGGGGATTGAACTCAGGACCTTGTGCTTGCAAGGCAGCCATGGTGCCACTGAGCTAAATCCCCAGCAGTGATTACATTCATTATGTGAATTTGGTACATGTACATAACACGTATAACACATCTTGATTCTTTTTACATCCCCTTCCCCTACCTCTCATCCAGCTCTTGATCCCCTTCCCATTTATAAAAGATCTGTCTCTCTGTTTCCTATTATTGGGGTTTTTTTTTTGGTACCGGGGCTTGAACTCAGGACCTTGCGCTTTCGAGGCAGGCACTGGAACCACTGAGCTAAATTTCTGGCCCAAATCATGCAATATTTATGCTTGTGTGTTTGATTTATTTTACTTAACATTATGGCTTTAAGGTGCATTGATTTTCCTACAGATGACTCAAATTTATCCTTCTTTGTAGGGGAATAGTACTCCATTGTGTGTAAATGCCACATTTTCTTTACCCATTCATCTGTTGATGGACATATAAGCTGCTTCCAAGATTTAGTTATTATGAGTTGTGTTGATATCAACATGGTGTACATGTATCATTGTAATATGATGTCTTTAACTCTTTGGGGACAATACCTAGAAGGAGAATAGGTGGGACTCCTTTCTTTTGTTCTTCCTTTTTTCTCCCCACTCCCCTCTCTTTCTTTCAGAAATGGTCTTGCTATGTATTTCAGGTTGGCCTTGAACTCATTATGTAGCACAGGATGGCCTCAAACTTGTAGTGATCCTCCTGCCTCACCTTCCTGAGTGCTGGGATTACGGGTGTGTGCCACGGCACCCGGCTATTACCTTTTTGAGGTGTCTCCATAGTGATTTTCATAGTTGTACTATGTTTATATGGTTGTACTACTTTATATTCCCACCAGTTTTTCCCCATTACATTTACATTACAGCTTACATTTCACTAATGGCCTGCAATGATGAACATTTTTTCATGTATTTATTGGCTGTTTTTACTACTTTTGAGAAGTATCTTTATTTTGGTTGTCCATTTTTTGATTG